TTTCATAATATACGACACAATAAAATATCCTTAAATCAGGTTTTTGACATGAATATTAAACTTATAGTCTTACATAATGAATACCTTGTATAATTTATCATATATATATATATATATATATATATATATATATATATATATATATATATAGATATATATATATATATATAATAAGTTACACAAATGTATAATATATAATATACATACCTTGATAGCATATACAGTTCCCCACGGAGATATAAATCATCCCAAGAATATAATTTTCTTCAAAATGACATGTATTTCCTGCGAAATGTAACATTCGCATTCCCTCATTAGAGTTATAGTTGGAAAAGTATTGAACCTGTAAATCAGATTAACATCAACATTAAGACTAATAACCAATCAAAAAACTATATATTTTGGTATAAATTGATCACAAAAAATGTATACCATTCCTAATCGATACATTGCATTGGGGTTTTGTTTCTATGCACATCGAAGCTATCAGGTTTTCATATTTGATTTGTAAAAAAACAAAAATGGATATTATTATTTTATTACCTTTTGAAATACCACCTATTAGGTTTTCATATATTACTTGTTGTATATTTTCTACATCTTCTGCCAAGTCAATGAACGAAATAGTGGATAAATGTTCCGACTTCCTTTTTAATTTATGACATCTTAGGTTTAACTTGCTTGATGATGAAGAACTAGTTATTGTAGGTGCATTTTTCGATGTCATATCCTTTTAAAGTACATAATACTGTCTTTTGTTTGGTAAGTTGGAAGTGGCATAGTTATCGAAACTAATATTAGCTGAACAAAATAAATAAAGTCATTATATATAAATTATGTAGAGAATGGATAATAGTATATTTTTAAAACAAAAAATTATTACCATTTGTAATGTTAGATAACGGAGTTTTAACATTTGTAAACGAATGAGAATATTGTAGAGTTGTATTTTGGATTCCACGCGAATTAAATGAATTCACGTTTTCAGTTTGACGAACAACGTTGGTTGATTGATCTGTAAGTAACAAAAACTTATGAAATTGAAGACATATCGTATAAAATAAAGTAATAAGCTGAAGTCATATAATATTATAGGATAATAAAAAAATATGAGAAGTCATGTATTGTATATAAATATAAATTAAATGTAAAACATGGAATATAAAATAAGAATTTTAACATATCCATGTTTTTTAAGAGATGAGGTGCTGATATACTTTGAACGTTGGATCTTGTATTCATTTTCTTCGATCTTTTATTTTTCAAATATAATTTTCTTTGTCTTCTTTTCTCTCTGGCTTGCAAGTGGTACATGTTATTAAAATATATATTCCGTGAGTAAAATAATTTGAAATAATAATAATAATTGTGTTTTTTATGAAAAAACATACATTTGTAAATCAAAGTATTAACAGTTGTAGTGGTTGAACATAGATGTGTTGATGTAGTACCCAAATTAATATTACTTGTATTATCTAAGTAGAAACTATTTAATTTTCTAGTCTTTTTAGAAGGAAATGAATGCATTGTATGTCTGCAACCTTAACAGATAAATCGAATTAGTTTATAAAATAAGATGCCTAACAGATAACAATAACTAATTCATAATATTTATAATTTGAACAAATGGGTAGAATGTCATTTTTTTCACATATTGACATAATTATAGAGAACTAACATATAAACCTAGATTACGGTAATATGTAATATCTAATTGCAATATTTTTTAAAAGCTTGTAATATGGCTCATTAGTTTCACATATATTCATGTTAATATTTTTTATACAATTAATATAACATAATTAAAAAATATACATATTAAATTAGGTTCTATTTAAGTATGTTTAACTTATGTTTAAAAAAAAATACCAATTAAGTATAAATAATCGAATGATTTAAAAAACGTAAGGCTGAATAAATGATAATAGTTGATATTTTATATGTTGTAAATAATATGATTATTAAAACATATCAAATCATTATAAGTTAGTTTATTCAATATAAAAAAATAATTAATATTATTTTCATTTTGATAAAATGTTTAGTCTAAACAATTGTAATTGGTTCGTATTGCAGTGCAAGAGAAAATATTAGGGATGAATGGAAGAGTACAAATCAACGTAGCCCTAAACCTATTGATCGAACTGACGACAATCTGATATGGCTCTCTACAATTAATCGCAATGGTGTCATTCAATTAGTGCAGACATACGTAAATTGTTCGAATGCATCAAGCCCTAAACCTATCTATCGGGTGAGTTTGTTTTCTTATACGATTACTTACCTGTTATCGTGTGTTTTGAACTTGAAGCTCTAATGATTAATGAGAGTATATCGTTACCGGCGTGAATCAGGCGTAGAAATGATGAATCAGATGAAACTATGAAGACGAAGCAATGATGAATCAGACGAACTTGTGAAGGCGAAGCAAAATGCTTTAGGCGAAACAGTATATCAATTTGGAGGTAATTTAGAACCACAAAAAATCTTGTTTTTAAAAAAATTAATTATAATTTCAAAATTTCACAATCGATTTCTGTTAACATTGATTTTTGAACGACTAATTTACATCTATACTTTCCTAGTATACATGGATTATTTTTAGGTATGAATAAAAGAGAAGCGGTGGTAAAATTTTGATGTTATTTTTTCAAAACAATGGTAATTTTTTAAATGTAAATTTATTTGTTTATTTGTTTGTACGTTTGATGAGTTATACCAAATGATACTACATTCTAGAATGATAGTTGATAAAGTTTTGTTATTTACACCACTTAAGGGTACCCAAAAGGGCATGAGCTTCATCTTACACTCGAGATTTTGAGTGCTTTTTTTAGAAAGTTTATGGTTGTGGTATTGACCATTTAGTTAATACAAAGAACATTTAATACAAAATTGACAGTCTCTTGAATGCAAAGAGAGCAAAATATTTTCTCATTATAGCCAAACATTCGTCAATTACTTATGACAATTGCATTTCACAAAATAAACTCAATTATTGAAAATGTAAGTTTTAATTATTGGTTTGCTGATCTGATGACATGAACATTCTCTTTTTTTCTTTTTGAACATGGTGGTCGGAATCTTGATCACAAAATGATGCACATGAAATAAGTTTGTATGATTCAACACGACCATAATTTGGTTATTGGTTTGTTTATATTTCATTTCAAGGTAATAAGTCAAAACATACATCCTTTTAGTATAAGTTAAGATGAGTTGAATCCTGTTGACATTTTTGTTAATATTTTATATTATGTTAATAGTTACACAGTAATAAAATAGGCATTTTGAAACATTTAGTGATAGAAAAATAATTTTACATTTTCAAGTTGAAGTACGCCATTCATCAAATCCCTGAATCTCCTCTTTCAGTATGTTTTTTATGTTTCACCATTGTTCTTTGTTTTGTTCGTTGATTAAGTTGGTTAGTTTTTGTATTCATATGTAATCCGAAAAAAAAAATTGTTACTTGACATTCCAAACATAGGAATGTTTTATTTAAAACTTTCTTATCTTTCGTTGTTTTTCCTTTAAACGCCATGTTTTTCCAATTCGATCAAAGCCTGCAGCTATAGAAAAACTACATCCTGATTCACAAAATTTCAATACATCAGGGGTATAACAGTCATTTTGTGTAATTTGTATGTTATTTTTTTAAACAGTTATTATTAAGACAGCAACTTGGTTAGTTGATAAATATAAAAACAATTTACATTACTATTGTTGTTAATCTGAGATTAGTCTATAACTGGTAGGGGTATAAAAATTATTTTGTCTAATTTTAATGTTATTTTTTCAAACAGTGACTGTTAAAATACCAATATGCTTGGTTGATTAAAAAATAAAAACAAAATGCATTGATGTTTCTTTTAATATGAACTTACAGTTTTATAAGTTGTAGGGGTATAATAGTCTTTTTATGTAATTTTAATGTTTTTTTTAAATTACATTATTATTTTTTAACTTTGATTCTCCTTTTTATCTTTATTTATTAATGATGACATTGTTGAAATTAATGAATTCAAGAAAGAGTTAGTTTATGCAATCAAACACAATTACTATTATATTGGTTTAACAATTTTTCAATAAGGTTAGTATGTTTTATATTCTAGATGTGTGTATTTATTTTGATATTGTGGTTGGTTGTTTATAATTATGTTGGTTTTCTTTTCATTCATAGGATTTTAGATACTCACGATTTTAGGTTGGGGCATAGCACTTGTCTTCTTCTCAAATCTTTATTACAGGTTCATTCTTTGCTCTCTTCGTCTAAGTTAATAAATACATATATTATCTTAAAATTCTTTATTCCCCTTACTGCTTTAAAACTTAGTTGCTATTGTTAAAACTTTCTTTTGGTTGTTATTACATAAATGAGCAAAAAAACACATATGTGGATCAAATAAAAAGAAAAAATAACCATAAACATCAAAGATAAAAAGAAAAATAACCATAAACATCAAATATTGCATTTGAAGGATTTAACACAAATAAGATAATTTTTTTAACAATTTTCATTCAAATTAGCCTTATAATTAGAAATTCAAGGAGAAAATAGGCATTTTGAAACATTTAGTGATATAAAATAAGCACTAAACATTTATCATCATTTTCTGGAAAAAATAAAATATGTTGTAAAAGTTGATGAAGTGACAATCAATAATGCCAACAATATAGTAACGATTTCTAAAGTTTCAAACCAAAGCTTAGTATCCATTAAATCATAACAAAAAAAAACACCAAATATCGAAAATACATATATTGTACGAAAACAACCAAATAATCTTAACCTCCAAAACTTCAAATAAACTTACCGAATTCAGCTATCCTTAGCCTCCCAAAATAATGATAATTTATACACACCTGAATAAACATATCAGTCCTATCGAATAAATCATAGACATCCAAATGAAAAGGGTTGTACCAAACAACCCAATAGTCTTTAAAACCAAACCAATATCTAAAATTATCACTTGTTTATTAAAACCAAACCCAACTCACTTCTCCACTTTTGGAACTAAAAGTGGATTTTCCTCTCCGATTGATTTTCTTTTAAATTTTGTCGAACTTAAATCACCTCCACAATCAACGTCATAAACATCATAGAGGTTGCGCTTCAAATCATTTGCTATATTGATAGGACTGGCTGCGGTCGATTTATCAACTGTTGAGCGTGTAAAACTCTCATCTGTTGTGAGATTACATCGTAAATTTAAAAAAAATTATAAGTTGTTAATTGGAATAATTAAATATAAATAAAAGTTAATATGGGAATCGAAATAGCTTTAGAACATTCTATACAACATCATCTTGCTCCAAAGGCACTTGATTTAAGGGCACAAATTGAATACTCTACAAAATAAGATGGAAAGATGTAAAACCTTATGTATATAAATAAAAAACAAATATAAATTTTGAACCTTAAATGTACGTGCCATAAGTTCTATTTTTCTTTCCAATTCGGAAAGAATTGACACATCTTTTGTAAGTTTGACAATGGTGTAGATATTATTATAGTTGTCGACATTGTAGTGTGTAATATCTACAAGAAAAGCAAACTTGCAGTTTTTCAAGACGTTAATTTGGTTTGGAAATACTTCCAAACTGTCTCCAGCCTGTAAGAATATTGTTTAATATATTAACACAAATAAAATGTTTATTGATTTAAAAACATGAATAACATAGTATACCGCTTCATGTTTTTTTCAAGTCATATGCACTTATATCCAACAACCTCTTCGCTTCCCTATCAAAAACAGTCAATCCGATGGTGCCAATCTCATCTTGTACGCTGATTGGAATCATATACCTAAACAAATATATATATATATAGATATATATAGATATATATATATATATATATATATATATATATATATATATATATATATATATATATAACATTAACATTAATTTTTCTGAAAGACTGAAATGGTTATATATCAAGAAATATATATATATATATATATATATATATATATATATATATATATATAACATTAACATTAATTTTTCTGAAAGACTGAAATTGTTTATATATCAAGAAATGTGTATACTTTGTAACCGAATGAAAATCGGAATCGTTGCAATGTGCATTTTTACATTGAACAACAACACTTTCTGAATTTTTTTCGGGGGCGGTATAGGAATGATTGGGTTTGAACACTGTGTTTAACTTTTTTCCACACTTCGAGCACACATCGTAATACCAAGGAAGATTGTCTTATATTGATGATGGAACCAACTAATAGAAATCTCATTACCTATATGAAATAAAATGTAAAAGTTATAAAAACATAAAATGTATGAATAAAATTAAAGGATATCAAATAATGTAATATACCTTCAGTGGTTTTGTGATCTCACAAACTGCTTTTAAAGGGAAATCCCCTTTAAAATCATCCATATAAGAAGAAGACGAGCTTGGGAGTGATGTTATGCTTTTTTCAGACATACCTCCATTGTTAGTAGCTTTCAATCTGTCATGTTTAAAATTATTTTTTTACATATACCAAATTGTCATGGTTTTAATTACAAAACAATATAAAAAAGTTTAAAAAAAAGGAACTAACTCTTTCTTGAGCTCATTAAATTTGATGATGTCGGAATTAATGAACTGTTTGGTTGTATCAAAATAACTTTGGGCTTGACCAATTCCTATTAAAAGAAATTAGTCAATAAAAGTAAATTTTTAAAAAAATAATAAATATATACAACATGACTACAAACCATCCCAAATGTTAAGTTTAACGAACTGCATCACTATAACAACACATGTAACCGTGGGGCTAGTTTTGAGGTACTGTGACATCTGGTGTGTTGAGTTCCAAATATAATGACCTTCAGGTATACAAACCTAAATAAAAAAGAAATTATATAGTACGAAAAAATTTTGATTAACAATAAGAGAAATTAAATATCCTCCTACAATTTCCTCTTACTTATCTTCCTACTCATGTTAAATGGTGACAAGTGGATTAAAATATTATTAAGAAAAATTAAATATGACACATGTCATCATTTGACATGGGTAGGAGGATGGTAGGAAGAAATTTATAGGAGGATATTTAAAGAAATAAAAGAAATATAATCTCACTGTAAGTTGCTAATAGTCATCTTTATCTAATGCTTGGATGGGTTAGGATTTGATGTTTCAAGTGCCCGAAATGAGACAATTTGTCCAATAACATCTACACAAGTTTAATATGCTATAATAAGTAAGATTAAGTTAAATACTAACACATATACTAAATTACACAAGTTATAAAGTGATTGGAATAAAATTAAATAACTAACCAAAGAAAGAGTCTCTTGGGCATGTATGTTAGATAATAGAATTAAAATCAACAAATACAAAACCATTCACCGGATCTGAAAAATTCCTCACATTTTTTTAGAATACTTTTCCGATTCAAAGTTATGGTCTGTTTGTGACCCGTAGCACTACAACCATTATTCACAACCGCCATGTTGGGTTTTATAATGATATAAGTTTGACCTTCCTTTATAAGGTCGCTAAATCTGGAAAAGTTTTGAATGAAAACACAAGAATGGTATTTTATACCCTGTTAGATCAAATAAATAACAATTAGTTTATTGATTGAAACATATGTAATATTTAGTGGGATATTAAAAAATAATATAACCAACCTCCTCATCATTTCAATTGATAAAACTGCATTATTCTTTATAAAGTTCCACGTCTTTAACACCCGTACTTTGATATGTGAATCATCATCAATCTGGTTAATGTTTTTGAGGTATATTTTATTACCTATATTCATATTCTGCAAACAATTGAATGGAGTTTGAAAGTTAAGTAAAAAATTGTGCGTTGGTATTACAGTGTTGTTTTATTTAAATGGTACTGTAGTATGTAATTTTAATAAATGGACCATATTAAAGTGTAATGACAGATAAGTGGATTATACTTTAATTTGTATAAATGGACCTGCATTTCAAAATATATTATAAATAAGAAAAAAATTTAATAATATGCTAAGTTATGCAAGACTTAAACTTTCTTCCTTATGATCGGATAATACATTAAGGGTATCTAAGGAAATATATTATTAAATCACTCCAAGTTAGTTATTCAAGGTTTTGCACACTTGTAACATCCCAAAATTCAAGACCAAAAATTTCGTTTTAATTAAGTTATTATATAAAACCATCAGTATAAAAACATTCATATTAATATCTCATGTCAAAACCAAAGTGTCAATAATCAAAACATATTATCATAAAACCATATCAGAGTGTAATCCCAAAGATCTCATGTGCGGAAAACATAGTGTGATGCGCTGCGATCAAGCCGACTCCTTTCCTTTGAAAACTAGTACCTGAAACCAAAACTGTAAACCGTAAGCATGAAGCTTAGTGAGTTCCCCCATCATACCACATACCATACAATCACATAGCATAAATAATGCCAGACAATTTTGGGGTGCCCGACCTACCCGTGTCAAGCCATTCTGGGGTGCTGACCTACCCGTGTCAAGCCATTCTGGGGTGCTGACCTACCCGTGTCAAGCCATTTTGGGGTGTTGACCTACTCGTGTCAAGCCATTATGGGGTGCTGACCTACCCGTGTCAAGCCATGCTGGGGTGCTGACCTACCCGTGTCAAGCCATTCTGGGGTGCTGAGCTACCCTTCGGTCCTAACGGCCAAACTTGGGGACTATTCCCCTCCTACTACCACTATCACATATAACATATCATGCTAACAGATAAACATGTAAGGGTCGAAGACCAGTTGTAATATGGTGAAGACCTAAGTTTATTTTACAAGGCACATTTGTAACGAAGCGTATGGTTTAGTCCTTGTAATTTTTTTGTATGCTTTCTCGTTTCCTATAAATAGGGAACATTACTTATAGTTAGGTAAGAGTCTTTGTACAACTTGTCTATTTTACTCTCTGTAACAATTGAAAGCACAATAGAGCTGAAACCAGATCATATTGACATCTCGTGTTCAATCTATATTCGTAGAACTCTGAATTGATTCATACTTGATCCAACACTTCTTCAATTGGTATCAGAGCAGGAATCATCATCTGCAATCTGATTTTCACTCTGATTCAAAAGGTTTTTGAATCAAATTTCTGGTTCAAAAGTTCCGCACCTTTTGACGTGAAAAAACGTTCTAGATCTTCAGTTGTGATTCGATTCTGCAACTGATTTGTTGAATCGAGTATTCTACTTGATATTTCTAATCAATTCAGCAATTTGCTTTCAAATTCTCTTTGATTTCTCAAAATTCTCAAAAAAATTTCTTCCGTAAAACAATGGCGAACTTCAACCTCAACTCGATGACTTTATACTCTCATCTGCTAGGATCTTCAACTAAGATTCCTATGCTTATTCCAGAATACTATGATCAATGGGCGGATCGGATGCAAGATTACTTGAATGGAATCGATGAAGAGCTTTGGTCATGTATCTCAGAGAATGTTACTCTTCCGACGAACCTTCAACCAATTGGATCGTCATCTAGTACTACGAGTGTGGAAAATCAAAATGATCGAATGAAGAAACTTGAAAAACGATGCATAAGGGAGTTACATGGTGCATTACCTCCAGTTGTGTAAAACTATGTTAGGAGTTGTACAACTGCAAAAGATATCTGGAATAATCTTAAAGACAAGTTTCAAGGTAGCGAGAAGACGAAAATCAATTCAGTTAAGCAATGCTTGATTGAAGTGAAGGATTTCAAGCTAAAAGATGGTGAAATGATTGAAAGTTACTATGATAGGTTGAACGAGCTGATTTACAAATGCAATCGTTATGGAATCACGAGGTCTTCCATGGAATTCAATCTCACGTTTGTGTTTGGGACTCCGTAAAGAATGGAGGAGTGTTAGTATGATGGTGAAAAATCAGCAAAGTTTCGACACATCTTCTCTAAATGATTTGTACAATCAACTGAAAACTCACGAAAGTGAAGTAAATGAAATTGCAGAAGAGTCGAAGATTAGTCTTGGAGGTCCATTAGCACTAGCCTCTAAAGTGTCTGAAAAGGAAGCAGTCGAAAAAGGTGATTCTGATGATGAAGAGGGGTTTCTCATGAATTCGGATGATGAGGCGGTAGCTTTCTATTCAAACAATAGAGTCAAAAAGTTTTTCAAGAAACCGTTTGTTTCAAAGATGAAGCAAAATGAGGGAAAAGGTAATTCCGTGAATAAAGCTGCTGGAGAGGAGAAGAAGAAGTATGAGAAGATTGATGCGAAGGGTACTGAGGAGAAGAGAGAGAAGAAACTAAAAGGAGATTCTGGTATGGATTGTCATTATTGCAATGGAGCCAATCATCTAGCAAATGATTGCATGCTTCGAAAGAAAGATGAGAAAAAGAATAGAGTGAAGGATGAGGCATATTATGTGGAGAGGTTGGAAGAGGTGCGTACGAAGGCTAAAAATTTGTCGTTGGTGGCTCAAGGTGAACAGGAGAATGATGGCACATATCAAATTTGGTCTTCGGGCTTCGATGATGAGGAAATGCGTAATCCTACGCATGGGGCCATGTATGCGAAGCTGGAGGAAGATTCAGACGAAGAGGTCAAGGGTCGATGCTTTGTGTCGAAGTCTGCTGATAAGTCTCCAATGACAACAAAGGTACGTATTATTCTTCAATCTTTCAATATTCCTTTGAGTGCATATGATTCTGAAATTGTTGCTTTTGATGATACTGTTGCTTATTTTGATAATTTGGTTGTTTCTGCTAGCAATGAAGCTAAGAAATTAAGCAATCAGTTGTTAGAGACTCAGAAGAAGTTAGATTCGAAAATTCTCAAGATAGAACGTTTAGAATTGCAAATAACCAACATTATGTGTGATCGAGATTCGTTGTCTAGTGATAGAAAACTCTTATTAGCTCAACGAAATATCTATTGTAACTCTGCTAAACGTCTATATGGCAAATTAACTGCTTTGCATCATTCGTGTGAGATTAGCAAGGAACAAAATAGGAAATTATTACCTTTTCTAGCATATAAGAGAGCGAAGGTTGATAATATTTCGTATGATTGTGAGAAAAATATTGTTGAGTTTGACAAAATTCCTGATGATAGATATGCTTATGGAATTGTCAAAATTGACGAATGTCTTGATTCAAATGAATTAGTTAACATTGTGAATGATACTTTGACAAAATCAGAACAAATCAAAATTTTGAAAAAGACTGAGAATTCAACATCTGATTCTCCATCTAATTTTGCCGATATTAAAGATAACTCTGACAATATTAGCGAAATTAGTGATATTGAGGATGTTGATTGTTCTCAATTGTCTGTCATTAATGTTGCATCAAAATCTAAAGGAAAAGAAAAAATTAAGGATTTGAAGGTTAAGATTGACATTGACAAACCTTCTACTTCAAAAGATTGTGATTTTGTGGATATCCGAGATAGTCAAACGGATAGCAGTGATGATGAAAATGATGATGATAATTCGGACAAAAAAGGTCTCATCAAACAAAGATTCGAAAGAAAATGAAATTCCACGTGTGGTTATTGATCAAGTGATTGGGGACACTGAAAATTTCGACAAAGTGTTGTCTGAAAAAGGAGCCCATTATTTGGAAACAAATCAAGTGGTGTATCCGAATTTCAAGTGTACTGATGATGTTGTTTTCCCCAATCAAGTGTTTGTTACCACTGGAAATGTTGAGAACATTAAACCAGAATTTAACAAAATGGTCGAAGATGACAACAAGAAAACAACAAACAAAGGGTTCTTTTCAAATCAAAGCACTGTTGAAAATAATCTAACACAGAATTCGTATGTTTTTCAAAGACAAAAACCAACACGCAAATT